AACATTACTATTGTACATTTCAAAAGTCAAAATGAAAATGTTAATATAACACATTTTTACGCGATTTTTTTGGATATTATCCTTTTCGGAGAGGAGACAATTCCGAATTTGTATGAATCGTTAAAATTAGTCCAGCGGTTCTTAAGTTATAAGCGTAGTAACTAACACAACTTTCTTTTATATATATATAAGATAACATTCCTATAGAGAGCATGATATCACTTGGAAAAGGATTATATTAAAACAAGTAAAGAAGCTGTAAGTTCGTCCGGGCCGTAATTTGAATACCCTCCACCATTTGGAACAAATTTGGCAATTATCAAAAACAATAAAATCCGCTAAAACTTCTGCTACAATCTTAAAAATCCCAAATTTAGATGTTATATTAGGGTCAATACGACATCATGGACATGCATAGGTAACTTTTGTCATAAGCCATTTTAATATTCAAATGCGAAACTTAACAAATAAAATCGGTGAATAGTGTAGCTAAAATCATCAAAATACCGAATATCGTGAGGTACCGTTATATGGAGGGCTATACGAAGACGTGAACCTGTACAGACAATTTTCTGTTTTAGGCTGTAGTACCCATTACGAACTTCAATTCCCAAATCTAAAACGATTCCGGTGAATAATGTCGCTAAAATCAGGAAAATACCGAATGCCGGAGCTACTGTTATATTGGGACTATGGGAAGACGTTGACATGCACAGACAATCTCCTGCCATAGGTTGTAGCATCCATTACGAACTTCAAATACCAAAATTAAAACAATTACGGAGAATAATGTCGCTAAAATAATCAAAATACCGAATATCGGGAGGTACCGATATTATACGAAGACTTAGACCTGAACAGACTATTTTCTGTCTTAGGCTGTAGTATCTATTACGAATTTCAAATACCAAATTTGAGACAATTCCGGTGAATAATGTCGCCAAAATCACCAAAATACCGAATATCGCTAGGTACCGTTATATGGGGGCTATATCAAAACGTGGACCTACATGTCCCATTTCCAAAAGTCCTGCAGACATAATATACATTAGAGTAAAATTGTATCAATCTACTTGAATTCGTTCGAAAGGTAGAGTGATTTCCACAGACGGACGGACATCGACATAAAATTTTATGCTGATGAAGAATATATATACTTTGTGGGGTTTCAAATGTGTATTTTGAGGTGTTACAAACGGAATGACAAACTTAATATACCCTCCATACTATGGTGGAGGTTAAAAAACATATATTGGAGCCGAGTTTCGCATAATGGAAACGAACGTTTAGCTGATATTAGTCATTATTTGCACAATAAACTGGAAATCGGATTAAGGATATACTATATCTAGAGTATTTATGAACTCTTTAAGATATCTTGTACCAAATATAATTCTTGTGGAGTGCATATTACGCATGTGAGGGACTTAAAACTCCAAATCGGATGAAACATATATATGGAAGCTATACCTATATCTGAACTGATTTTCTACAAATTGGATGTATGCTTCTAGACTGAATTTGGTCTAATGTGCCAAAATGCATGTCATTTCGACTGATATTGGCATTTGGTGTACAATAAACACGGAATCGGTTGAAGATATATATGGAAACTATATCTAGATTTGAACCGATTCTCACCAATTTCAGTAGGGTTCGTCTTTGGGCCAAACAAATATTGTTTGGCAAATTTTATCTAAATCGACAAAAGTTATTCAATGAAGATCCCCAAAAGCAACTATGGGTCTATTTCGTTTTCTTCCCCCCATTACAAACAAATGCACAAAGACATAATACCCTTGCTGTAGGGTATAAAAACGTGGGATCCCCAACTATACCTGAGCCAATTATCACTTATTTCGATTAGGTACGTTGTTTGGTCTAAAAAATTGTCGGTCGCTAAATTTTCCGAATAGGATAATAAATGGACCTGTGTATAAGGGACAAATGTGTCCAGATTATCCAGAGTAGCCATTTATGTCAATTGGCTGATCCCTGCCCTTAACTCTCTTCTCAGGTAAAATTCCGTATCGATTGGTTTAAATTATGTGATCAGAAAAAATTTTCTATTTTTGTTTCTTTCGAACCCCTAAATGTTTTCCTATCATCTCCAAATGCAAGAGGCCCCTCTGTATCTCTAAATTTAGACTCATCTATATGATTTGCTTGTCTACGATATTTGTCTATATTCGTCAAAGAAATCAGCATAAACAAGTAAAAAACATTAAGTTCGGCCGGACCGAACTTTTAATACCCTCCACCTTAGGGAGGTAACGCTATATAGGGCTACACAAAAACGTGGACCTATATATACAGTATTTCGCCAACGGATCTAGAACTCATTATGACCTACAAATACCAATTTTCAGACAAGTCCGTAAAAAAATGTGGTAAAAATCATCAAAATACCGAATATCGGGAGGTACCGTTATATGGAGGCTATACCAAAACGTAGACCTATATATGCAAAGTTTCGCCACGGGAGCTAGAACCCATTATGACCAACAAATACCAATTTTTAGACAAATCCATGAAAAAATGTGGCAAAAATCGTCAAAATACCGAATATCGGGATGACCGATATATCTCATTTTCAATACCAACCATCCTAGATATTATACAAATTATTCTGCTAAATTTTGACGCTCTACGTCAAATAATGTGGGCTGTATCGTGATTTCAACAGACAGACAGACGGACATCGTTAAATCGTTTTAGGATTTTATGCTGATTATGAATATATATATACATTATGGGGTCTACGACGAATATTTAGGGATGTTACAAACGGAATGACAAAGTTAATATACCATCTTTTCCAAGGTTTAGGGTATAAAAAGCCAAAAGTTCGCCTTTTGTGTATTTTTGATTTCGCCAGTAAGTTATTTTCAGCCTTTTGGTAGAATAGAAATGTTGGTATTTTTTTCATACTAAAGTCCATTTTACCCATTGTCCTAAACTCTGACTTCCTGCGAGATTTCGAGTCTTTTTTGTCTTTGTTAACTTTATAACAGCTGTTGGTCCATTTCAAGCCCTAAATATATTGCGGACACATTTAAAAACAATAGGCCTAGTCCTTCTGAGCCTAACCCTACCCTTATGAAAATTTTCATGAGAATCAACGATAATTGCAATATGTGATCTGTTCCAGAATCTGCAAGAATCTACCAACCTGAGTGGAAAGGTGAAAAAAATATTACAAAATATACACTTCAATATTATATGTCAACTTGAAAAAATCGCATGCGATAAAAAATATGAAAAAATTAAAAAAAAAATCACAAACTACTACAAAATCTATGTTAAGATCATTATTGGCATATTTTTAGATATTATTCTTTATGCCAAGATGGCATTCCGAATTGAGAAAATTTGTCAAAATCGGTTCAGCCATTCTTGAGATATAAGCATTCTAGCTAACATCCCGTTCCTTTGTATATACACATTGTATATATTTCGCAACATATATTCGATATATTTATGTAAGTATCTATGTAAGTTCAGAATTGACATTATCGTCTATTTGTGATTTCGTCAGGATTAAAAATATTCGCGGTTAAATGGAAAATTTGACTTTTATTTAACACAAATGTTATGGCCTATTTCACCCACTAAATATTACCCGATGACCATCAAAATTGGAAGGCTTCTGTCCAGCCCCAAGCTCTAGCCACATGCTAACTTCCGCTTTGATTGGTCTATAATTGCGACCTGTAGAGCAACTGCAAAATCAGTAATTTTTTCAGTTTTTGGTTCATTTCAACCCCTAAATATTATGCAATCATCTCCAAAAGAAATAGGGTTTTATTCTGACCCCACCCCCACCTCCATTTTCAATTTCGTGAGGATCGGGCCATAATTGCGACCTGTCGAGTGATTACAAATTAACATGAACAGACGGACAGAAGGGCGGACGGACATACATAGCTAAATCGACTCATGTCGGCGAGATAGAAAGATCCATATATACTTTCCTATGTTGGAAACCAATATTTCGAGGTGTTACATAATTTTTGGCCTAATCAAACTTACAATACCCCAAACACATACTGTTGTAGGGTATAGAAATTAGATTTCTTGGTCTTTATATATTCACTATATTTTCTACAAACTTTTGAACTTTTTGGCACTTTTCGTAGTCTTCGAGTACGAATTTCCAAGAATTTCTCCTTCTCGAACCCCTTTCTCGAACATATTCACTCCTCTTGTTAAAATTCCCTATTTCGGTTATCAATTATGCCTCTTGAAACCACTGCACTTTTACCCCGCCATTCGCTTGACATAATCACATTTAAAAAAGACATGATCTACAAGAGCTATTAATTGTGACGTAAATTGTATGCTAGTTAGCCATTGCCGAGAGAATATTGCGCTCTATAAGAGCTGATCGAATTTCTCTTTGATTTGCCTAAGAGAGAAAAATTACCGTTGAAATCAATAATCAATAAATTTAATAAAGAAAATTTAACCGAGTAGCCCCGATCACATTTTTTTTTTTTGGGCCAAGATAAGACCTCCAGTTAACCTCAGCAAAAAAAGAACAGTCAATACGATTATTAAAATACAAGCCAGCCTAAATCAACCGCTCATAACAATAACAATAATAATTCGTATTTAAAAGACCAGCCGACCGACCGATCGATCGATTGCTCGTCAAAACTACAAGCGGACGAAAAAAATGAGAGTTCATCGCACGTTCGCTAATGCTCCGCCGAAAAAAAATAACAGCAACAACTTATTAACTTTTTTATTTGTTTTTTTTTTTTTTTTCAGCTGCTTACCTGGCTGGCCGGCTGGCTAACTGATTGACTTCAGACTCTCTGGCGTGTGTTTGTTTGTGTGTGGAGAGTTTTTGCTTTTTTATGATTTGGCCGCCTTTAGATGTGGCGGGAGGGAGGGGGGAGGCTTATAATTGTATTCTGGGTCCGAGAACAATTTATTTGCTTATTCAGCGTTTAAATGAAAACGTCCAACCAACGGATCACAGCCAAAAGCAAAAGAGTGCTAAATTGAACAGCAAATACAAACCGCCGCCGTATAAAATATTACAACGGATTGAAATAAGTTTCAGTTTATTTTGAAAAATTAAAAGCGACACTTCGGTCACCTTTGTTTTCGATGCCGGCGAAAAGCGCGATCCATGCCTACACACACAGAAGATAACAAACTAAAAAATTGAGAAAACATAAAATAAATAAAAAAATTATTTTGAAAAAAAAAATCAATAAAATTTGAATACATTTTTCAAAGATAAAAACGAAAAGTGAATAAAAAGCAAAAAAAAAGAGCGTTTAGACCTCCAAAACAAGTGTTGTTCAAAAAAGTGAAAAAATACATTTTTGAATAAAAATATATAACAATTTTATATTGTTTTTTTTTTATAAAAAAAAAATTACAAAACAAATTACAATGGAGTTAAAATACAAAATCTGGAGCCTATTTGCATTGTTCTGCCTAGTCCAAGGTGATTATATTGAAAATTATTTAAAAAAAATTGAATGGATTTTTTTTTTTTTTTTTTTTTTTTTTTGAAAAAAAACTTGAATGAACTGAAATCATATAACCATAAGAAGTTCTATGCCATAAATTTTCCCATTTAATCTAAAACATAAACCAATTTTTTTTTTTTGTGAAAATTTCTATGTTCCGTCCCTAAGAAGTTATGATAAACATGTCATTGGAACAAAAAGAATTTGCTAAGCAACAATAAAAATCAACAACAAATAGTCGTGACAGAATCATCAATTATTTTTCTTTTTGTCGAAGCTGTCGGACTTCAATTCATTATCAGGACCAGTAGAAAAGAAACACGAGTTTTATATCACTAATGTTTGACGTTATTGTACCCTACCCAGATGGCGAGAGAGGGGGCATTTTTGGTTGTATGGATTTGTTTGTAACATCCGAAGAAAAGTAATTCTGGACCAAGGTTTTATAATCTGACAAAAAATGGCTAACTTTGAATACCCTCCCCCACTTGGAAAAAAATTGGCAATTTTCAAAAAACAAACAAAAAATCCGTTTAAAACTCTTTTAAAATCTTAAAACTACCGAATGTAGCCGTTATATTAGGGTCTACGTGGACATGGACCTGCATAGATATTACAATATTCAAACGTTAAACTTGAAAAAAATTCGGTGAATAATGTAGCTAAAATGTGGACCCGCATAGACAGCTTTTGTCATAAGCCATTACAATATTCAAATACAAAACTTGAAAAAAAAAATCGGTGAATAAGGTAGCTAAAATCATCTAAAAACTGAATATAGGGAGGTACCGTGGCTATACCAAAACATGGACCTGCGCATAAAATTTTCTGTCTTAGGCAGTAGTAACCATTACGAACTTTAAATACCAAATTTGAAACAATTCCGGTGAATAATGTCGCTAAAATCATCAAAATAACGATTATCGGGAGGTACAATTATATGGGGGCTGTACGAAGAACCGGACCTACACAGACACTTTTCTGTCTTAGGCTCTAATATCCATTACGAACTTCAAATACCAAATTGGAAACAATTCCGGTGAATAATGCCGCTAAAATGATCAAAATACCGAATACCGTTATGTGGGGGCAATACGGAGACGTGAAGCTGTACAGACAATTTTCAGCCTCAGGCTGTAGTATCCATTACGCACTTTAAATACCAAATTTTAAACATTTCCAGTGAATTGTGTAGCTTAAATCACCAAAATACCGGAAATAGGGAGGAATCATTATATGGGGTCTATACCAAAACGTAGATCTACATGACCCATTTCCAAAACCAAAAGTCCTGCAGACATAGTATACATTTGAGAAAAATTTAAGCAACCTTCTTCATTTCGTTCAAAAGCTAGAGCGATTTCCACAGACGAAAAGATGGACGGACATCGCTAAATCGACATAGAATTTTATGCTGATCAAGAATATATGTAACTTAAGGGGTCTAAAATGTGCATTTCGAGGAGTTACAAACGGAATAACAAACTTAATATACCCTCCATACTATGGTGGAGGGTATAAAAAAACATTAAGTTCTTAAAATGCATGGAATCTTTATCTGAATTGATAGAATGGCCCATATAATTTAAGTAGCAAGTCCAAGCTACTTCAATTTCAGAATTTCAGCTCTATTCCTTCATTCAATACCAAATTTGGTACTTTCCATATAATAATAGTACAGATTTCCAAAACCACCTTCATATCTTAATCCCAGATACCAACAGAGACCTCAAAATCGAATTCCGGGATTCAAGCTCAATCCCTTCAACCAATACCCAATTTAGTAACACTTAGCACTTTTCGCACAAATGTAGGACTCAATTCCAGATCACAACAGAAACCTCAACATCAACTTTAAAGATTTTATCTCTATCCCTTCACCCAGTACAAAATTTAGTACATTTCAGTACCTTTCGAACAAATATAACACAGATTTTTAAAACTTCCTCCATACCATAGCTACTGATGCCAACAGTGACATCTATATCAAATTTGAGAATTTAAGCTCTATCCCTTCATACAATACTAAATTTAGTACAATTTAGTACTTTTTGTAAAATTATAGTACACATTTTCCAAACCACCTTCCTACATCCAGGCTGCACATGAACAACGTCCCTAATACCAATGTTTTTGATTTCAGGCACTATCCGCTTACCCAATACCGAATATAGTACTATTTAGTACTTTTCGTGTAGTAGTCCGAATTTCAAATAAGTCAGGCTTATCTCACCCCTATCCACTAACATTGATCCACATGCAAAATTTCAAGATTCTAGCTTCAGTTGAGCGTTGTATGGAGGGTATATTAAGTTTATAATTCAGTTTGTTACATTTCGAAATAAAAATGTTAGACCCCACAAAATGTGTATATTTTTTGGGTGTTCCTAATGAGTACTACAGCCTATGTCTGAAAATTTCATATGCAGGTCCAGGTCTTCGTATAGCCCCCATGTAACGGTACCTCACCATATTCGGTATTTTTATGATTATAGCGACATTATTCAATAGAAGTGTATCGAATTGTCTATTACAAGTTCCTAATGGGAACTACAGCCTAATGCAAAAAAAAAAAAAAAAACTCGGTCTCTCGTCTTCGTATGGCCCCCATATAACTGTAAAGCCATATATTCAATATTTGGAGGAACACCGGAACTGTTAAAAATTCGTGTAGCCCCTATAAAGGTAAAGGTTTTCAACGTTTTTTTTTTTTTTTTTTTAAGAATTTGCAAATTCCTTCAAAATGATGGAGAATAATTAAAGTTCGACCCGGCCAAACTTACTGGATTTTTTTTTTTTTTTTTTTTTTTTGAAAACTTTGTACCTACCTCTTCTTATAACAGAAAATCATCTGTAGAAATTAATTTTCTTCCGATTTCCGACATTTTCCTGATTTTAGCCACATTTTTTTACGGATGCCTATATAACTTCAAATTGGCATTTGCCAATTTGGCATCGTTTTTTGAGCCATATATTAGGCCATAGTATCACCCGATATTCGGTGTTTATACCCTACACCACATAGTGGTAAGGGTATTATGTCTTTGTGCATTTGTTTGTAACATGATAAGGAAGCGAGATAGACCCATAGTTACTTTTGAGGATCTCCATAGAATCACTTTCTGAGTTGATTTATGCATGTCAGTCCGTCCGTCCGTCTGTCCATGTATTCTTGTGAACAAAATGCCGGTCACATTTATTATTTTATTATTGAGATGAAATTTTCCAAACAACACTTGTTTGGCCCAAGGACGAACACTATTAAAATTGGAGGTAATTGGTGAAAAATTAGATATAGCTCCCATATATATCTTCGTCCGATTTTCCTTTTATTGTGCACCAAACGTATACTATCAGTCCGAATAGTATGGAATTTTGCACATACAACCAAATTAGGACTGAAAATAAGTATGCCAAATTTGATCGAAATCGGTTCAGATATATCTATAGCTCCTATATATATTGTTCATCCGATTTGTTATTTTTGTCCTCCGCAGCCGTAATATGCACTCTGTAACAACTATATTTAAGGAAATATATCAAATACAGCTCAATAATACAATTGCTAAATTTTAGCGAGATCGGTTCAGATTTGGATATAGCTCCCATATATAACTTCGTCCGATTTACCTTTTACTGTACACCAAACGTCTAATATTTGGCTAAATGGGATGGAATTTGGCACTTACGACCGAATTTGGTTTAGAAGGTAGTATGGCAAATTTGGTGAAGATCGGTTCAGATATAGTTATAGCTCCCATATATATTGTTCATCCGATTTATTGTATTTGTTACCCACAGCCGTAATATGCACTCCGTAACAACGATATTCAGGGAAATATATCAAATACAGCTCAGAAATATCTTTGCCAAATTTTGTCGAGATCGGTTCAGATTTGGATATAGTTCCCACATATATTTTTATCCGATTTCAAATTAATTTCGCACCAAATGGACAATACAAGTCCGAATTTAAAAGATACAAATGCTTCGGCATATTAAGTCCTTTGAACTTTAAATTACTATTATAATCATAGCGTGCATAATTAAATTCTCCAATAAAATCTTTTAATTGTTATGTGGCCCCGCCCGACATTAGGACTTTCTTTACTGGTTTTTGTGATACATGAATGCAAAGGGTATGTGGTTGCAAAGTATGCAAAAAGTGACACCTACCTGCTTCCAGTCGACTTTTCTTACTTGTTAGTGTTAAGGCTGACACAAATATTAATATTAGGTGTTTTATTTATTTATTTATTTTTTTTTTTTTTTGTCTAGCAGTTTCCTTCGCACTTCTGCTAGAACTTTTCCTCGAGTAATTTATCATTTCTTATCATTATGACCAAAACTTGCCTAACGCACAGTAAAACTTAGAAAGGGTGGTAGGCGGGGGTGGCGGAGAGCAACAAGCGAAACAATGCTAAATTCACATGATTGTATGCTCGAATTTCTAATCAAGCATTAATAAATTTATCCAAAAGTATGTTTGGCTTTATGACTTCTCATTTACTTTTATTGCTTTTTTACTATAAAATATTATGACATTGATTCTACAAGTCTGGATATAACCAAACAAAAAAAAACTACTTTGCAGCCTATTTAGTTGCAAAATGTTGCTATGGTCTTCAAATACCCACAATTTGGGGGCTGTAATAGCCTCAATAAACTTTTCCCAAATCTGAAGCGACATTGAACACTTTTAGGTATAAAACTATCAAACACAAGTTAAAAAGTATGAGTCAGTTTTACCGACAGATGTATACCCTCAGCCAATGTTCGATATATATATTGAATTCCGTTATTATTATTCATATTGTTGAACCTATATGGAGTAGGTAACGAAGGAATGGGCCACTATTGTCCATTTCGCTGGATGCTTACATCGCTTTCTTTGAGGGTTTTGTTTTTCAAAATCTTGAAACCTATGCGGGGATGGTACCAGAAGAAATTGTCCGATCTCTACTATCCTTGTAAC